TTTAGGCAAAAATTTCAAGGAGTGTTATCAATGTGACAAAGACATTGAATATAAAAAATGTTGTTTAGGTTGAATTAATTTAATTTGAAACTATTTATTACAAAACATATTATATTTTATAATCAGATCCATTATATGTTATTGTTTTTATAGTCACAGACGTCTATTGTCTGATGATTATTATTTTATGATGATAAGGGTAATAATGAATACAATCCATCCACTAATAATGTTATATTTAGGAAAACATTTAAAATATAATAAATAAAATTTTTATTACTTTTTATTATCTCTCTACATATTTTCTTAATATTCTTTATTTATATAAATAATAATTCATTTCACGTCATGTTTTAATATCAGGCTGCGCAACGCGCGGGTGGCGTACTAGTTTTTTTTATTCACATACGGACGGATATATCTATCAAGTTCTTCCTTAAAATCACACAAATTGCTCTCTGAATTTTTTTTTCCAGTCGAGAAATTGAAAAAGGAAATCGAGGCTTTTGGAGGCAAAAACCCTTCTACCTTGCCGTCAACCTCCGCCACCCAATCGCAGACGACGTCCGGCATCCAGCGCCGCCATGGCGGAGAACTGACTCTCGGTATTTGTTTTTCGCCATTTTTTTAGCTCAGCGATGAGGACTTCTTTCGTTTCATTATTAGCACTTTCTCCTAGTTCATTTGCACACTTTCACCAATCACCAGCTCAAACATTTCTCAATTATCCTGAACACGATGTGAAATTGTTCTCCCAGCTAATGATTTTCTCTTTCCAAGTCATCTCTGGCAAGTGCCTGTTGGTTGTTTTTTCAGCATCAACAGCTCGTTTGGTGCTTGGTGGAGACCTTGTTTGTTAAGGTTGAAAGAGTTTGCAGATTTTCATGGCTTGTTATCGTATATCATACCAAAAAGTTCACGCCTGTTGGAGGACATTGTATTCGAGCTGGAAACCAAATGGTTTAGTCAGTAAGAGTTTTTTCTGTAAGTTGAGTAGTTTCGGATGTTCGACGAGGAAATACTGTTCTTCCATCCCGTGTAAAAGGGTAGATATCTCTCACTGCTGTCTACCGTTAAATGCTCTTCATGTAGCCTTTTTTAATTTCAGTATATCCTGATTGTCTAGTTCTCTCTTTATTTTTTGTTCTTTTTGTCAGGATTTTCGTGGAGGGCGTCATAGCTTGAATTCTGGAGTTTGTGGTGTTGTGCGCCCTTTCTCTTCTACTGCTATCAGTACATCTGCTCAAACTGCAGAAGCAATTGACGAAAGTACAATATCGAATTCTGCTACAAGTGACTATGAGCAGACAACCATGACTCCGTCAAATGGCAGAGTAATGCTTATAGATGGCACTTCAATCATATATAGAGCATATTACAAACTTCTTGGTATGTATATGGATCATTTTTGTTCCTTTAAATTACACTAATCTTGGCAAATGGTGATGGGTTTACCTGGACGGCAAACCATTTTTTTTAACATATAAACTTTGGCAGAAGCTGATACTTTACTGGTTATTGTTAGCAAAACTGCACCATGGTCATCTTTCACATGCTGATGGAAATGGAGATTGGGTCCTCACTATTTTCAGTGCATTGTCTCTGGTAAGTTTTAATTTGTCTATAAGATGCAATACATTAACACCCCCCTTCCCCC